AACAAGGTACACCTTCCCTGGCAGGAGGGGACACAAGCAGCCGAGGCAAGGGGAGCGCGGCCGCATCAAGCGTGACGCAGGAGACAGAGTACCAAACTATATTTACTGTATACAATAGTAAAGGACAACAAATAAATGTACAAATCCGTCAATAAACAATGAGATCTACGGGACATCCCACCCCAGCCCATATACAAGAAACTGAGAAAGAAAGTGAGGGCCTTTCCAGCAAGACTTCCAGCAAGCGGGAGATGATCTAACGTGGCCAAATGGGTCAGGGAAATAGAAAAGGCAGATAACGATCCCACGGAGCAGCAGCGGACACCCTCTCCAGGGACCACAGGATGGCCTTGCTAAAAATTCGTCTGCAACAGACTCCACGCCTTGCACAGAGCTCAAACCCACCGCACAAATGCATTTAAAATTCAGTAAGTTCAGGGAAGCGGGAGAGCAGGTTATTATTTTTTTGAACACATGTACACGCACACACGTATGTGTCTCTTTCCTTGCTCACCAGGTTCTGGACAGCTCTTTTGCACACACAGCTTGGTGACATTAAAAAGTGCTTTTTTTTTTTTCCAAGTATTAAAAAGAAACCTGAGCCACACACTTCTGGTACCCACTGAGAAATAAAGAGACATACTAAATGGAGCAGGAGAAAGGTGACAGATGCTGCCCGGCACTCAGCAAACGGCTGAAGTTGCAGTGATGGGTTTCTCTTTTTAGAAGCTTACACAACAAAAAATACTGCTGCTCTATCACGAGCGTTAGTTTTTGGACCAGCTGCTCTGCTAACTCCACTTCTGACAATAATTCAGGACAAATCTCATTTCTGCATTAAAAAAGTATATTTCAGACAACTTTATCATGATATGACAAAGCACATGTAAATCTGCAATATTTTAAACTCCGACTCTATACTAAGCATTGTATCTGCATGTACCAGCCTTCTGTCATAGGCTAAACGCTTCTGAAGTAACTGTGTTTGCAACACGCGCTAAAAACTTAAAATCAGCGTATCTTTTCCTTCTCTTAGGCATATCTTAAAAGGAAACTTTTATGCTCACAATTGGCATGAAAATATACTGAATTATTTACATGATTAGAATTAAACAGAGGGGCAAGACCGACAAGAGCCAGGAATGAACATTCCATGTCCCAACGCATGGATGAATATTTAGGCCACAGGTTTAAAGAAAAAAAAAAATTTTTTTAAAAAAAAGGAACAGCAGAGAGACAACGCATATTACTTAATCTGAACTTAAATCAAATTGGCCCAATTTAAGATATAGATTAATCCCTGCAGATACTGTTTTGACTTGCACACGCAGTACGTCAAAGACAAGAAGCGATTTTGGTAAATGTCCTCTAAAGTTTAGAAGAATCCCGTGTGATTGGCATGTTCATTTGTTTTACTATTTAATAGCAAATCCAAGGACAGATGAGAGAGTGAGGTGTGATGAGGATCCTTAAACTCCTCTTCTCAAAAGGACGGCACGTCTTAACACACTCCACCCGTCTGCTGTTGGAACACATCGATAGTGTCTTCATCTTCCATCTCCAGCTGTTGGAGTAATACGGAAAACACAAGACTTGAAATACACAGGGTTGAAAAAGCACGTAGCTCTCTACTCCTAACCACTACCAGTAAAACAGCACTTAAGGTGTAATTAATTAATGCCTGAAACACTTTCCATCAGTCACTCCAAAGCACGCACTCCATCATCTCTCCTATCGGAGTACCGCCAACACCGAAACAGGTTTCAGAGGCACGCTCATCAGTCCGACCAAACTCGGCAGTTTAGCATCTTCTACAACAAATGACCCAGCCAAGCATCTCCTCTGTTCCTTGCCTCCGGCCTCACCAGCCCAAGAAATTCCCCACGTTCTCAGCACTGCCAGTGCTGACAGCAGCGACGGCTTCAGTGCCGGCTCGGAATGGGCTGACGCACAATAAGGACAGAGCCGAAAACACCAGCACTTGCCAGGATGCCTTTCCACACCAGGAGGGCCAGCTTGTTCAGCACTGATGCTCCTACACATTTTCCTGCCCCCCCCCCCCCAACAGAGAAAACATTCAAGGCCCCCCGCCCGTGTCCCTCCCCCCCCCCCCCAACAGTGAAAACATTCAAGGGGAAAAAAATAAATCCCACCCTAGACAAATTATGTGGAACATGCTAAATTTACAGCAACTCTTTCAGAATCATTTTGATTTCAAACTCCTTTGAATTGCACGCAGACATAAAAACATTTGTACAGCAATTTGCAGTAAAAAGTATTTTTCATACCTGTGCAGGTGTGTCTGTTTCATTAATTGGTTGTCCATCAAATCTGAATCTAATCTGCCTCATCGACAAGCCCTGCAAGTTTAAAGTAATTGATGTGAGAAACCACACTCTCCTTTCTGAATTCAGACAAAACATTTACAAATTTACTGTCAGAACAAATATTAACAAAATTAAGACTCAAAAGATCTAACCAGATGGGAAACTTAGCACCTCTATCTTGCTATGTAAATTGAGGGAGCAGCGCTGGTTTTGAGCGATGTCCTGCTGCACCGCTGTCACAGCAAGGACTCTATATGGAACCACCGGTGTGGGTTTGGCACCTGGGTTTGATCCTGCTCTGCAAGGCACAGATACCAAAAGTCAATTTACAAAGGTGATTTAAGAAGAGATCAATCAATACGCTGTTCTATAAAGCCTGGGAGGACATGTCAGCCAGGAGCAGCAATTGTCCCTCATGCGGTCAGAGAAGTAACGGTCGATTAAGTTGACTCAAAGGAAAACATTTTAAAAAAATCTGAAAAAACTACTTTTTTGTGTAACTAGCTATCAGACCGACTACCCATAGTTAAGACAAGTTTCTACTCATGCCAGGCATGCGCTCCTAGTTCTAGTTCATCTCATGAAAAGAGGAACCATGAAGACAACCGTTTGAGGACAAAAAGAACCTGCAGGACTTGACACAGATTTTTACTTGCTAAGGTCTAATGTTAGTACGTTACCCTTAAAACCAGAGTTGAATTCACAACTGAATCCTGTTTTGACCGCGTTTAATCACACAAGGCAGTCTTTACTCCCTGCCTTAGGGATCAAGGGCTTTGCATCACCCTCCAAAATCCTTCAAAATCCCTACGCAATTGACACTTCCAGTCAGACACGGAGCCACCTGAACACAAAAACTCCCCGCACCTCTCTAAAGACTCGACGTATTCACTTCTCGTTCCCAACATGGGAATAAATCCCTCTCCTGTTTAGCTCAGGGTGGCACTGAGGAATGGCCACCGACACAGAGCAGCCAGCTGCCACCTGTGGAATACAGCAGTCCAACCCGCGCAGCGGGCAATGGGAGAGACGTGTGAAGGGAAGGGGAAAAAAAAAAACAAACCAGAGTGAAAGTCCTGGCATAGGAGAATTTGTTTTGTGCACTTTCCAAATAGCAAACACACTCTGTATAAAGCTTTTAGAGATGACAGAACTGAGGGTTATGAGGCTAAAACATTCAGAGTGAATCAGTCTCAGAGCCAGGATCAGAACTCGAGAAATTCCGGTAACGCTGCCATGGGACATTTTTAGAGCTCTAGGAGCACCTGGTGAGGAAGAGGCAGTTTTCTTTAACTGAAGAGAAAAACTCGAACACTTAAAGAGTTGACATCCCGAGTCCTCACTCTCCGTCACGCCTGGGCACATTCACCTTGACACACTGGGATTTTTAATGCTCCAGACAGACAAGCAGCGAAGCTCCCACCATTCCCGGGTCTCTT